CAAAGGGGTACACGCATGTTCCTTGAACATTCCATAGCTCATTATATATTCACATTTAATGCTCCTTAGGTTCGTTGTAATTCTAGCAATGTGGCCTGTTTACTGCTAAAATGTGCAGTTTAAATGTTGCTACTGAACTTATTCATAAGTTACAACCGGTGATCTTGCAACTTCTAGTTTAAGGAATATTTGCTGATCCCAGTTTAAAGGTGCTTGTCCGGAAAAGACTTTTTCTTAGACTTGCTATTAGATAGCTATTCCGATGCGCATATGCCCAAACACTTTTTTTTTTTGAGACAAGGGTAACGTTATATTCACACCAAATAATTCATTATCCAAAAAATGATGAATTGGAAACTTACATCCCACAAAGATGTGTTGTAAAGCTAAAAAAATACTGCTATGTCTTTATACCCATCATCAGTTGTTCAATTTAGTCCTACTTAGTGTGTGACAGAGTAGCCATTGACCTATATTATCATTCTCTTCTGTGTTAGGTATTTGATTCCAGAACTGGGACCTTGCTCCTTCAAAATAACATATTCTGCACATACTGATCTGAGTGTGAAGTTTCAGAGTCATCGTAGCAGGTAGAAATGATCTCTCTCTCTCCCTCACACACACACACACACAGAGAACATCCTCCCCTCTTCCCCCCTCTTTCTGCTAAACAGACATTCATGATGATGGCTTATTTCACTATTGGAAAACTGGTCGTACATTTGCATCTTTATATCCTTCATCACTCATACTCATTTTATTTCCTATTCTTTTAGGGTCTAATGACTACTTTTCTCATCTCTTTAATCATCATTTTACATATGGTTTTGATTTAGGGACTACACCAATCCTCTCCTTCCTGTTGCTCCCTCAGCCATTGATGCAAATGGTCAGGTAATCAATTAGACACAACTCTTTGCGTGTGGTCATTAGTTGCATGGAACTATGGAAGGATGTGTTAGGATTCTGTTTTCTGTCTTCCAATTTCCTTGTTTGTATATTCTTGATTTTTTTTTCTTTTTGACTAGTCAAAAAGCTTCATTAAGTAAGAAGGAATCAGTTATAAGCATGCGACTCAACCATCTTCATCTATCAACTTCACCTATCTCTATCTATCAAGCAATATATACTCTCTACACAAAAAATACAAGTGTTACAAAAGAGATAATGCCTTGCATATCGTATTTTGCATTTTGGGGGCTACATTATGATAATGCATCTTCATGGATATTATGATTTAACTGGTAGAGTATAGCAGTTTGTATGCTGATCTTTTGTATGATTGGTACACTTTAATGTTTCTGTGCTTAGGGTACATTTGTAGTTGATTGGTTGATATTGTGATGAAATGCTGGTTTCTTTCCTTTCTTTGAAATTTATTTCATTCATGTTTCAGATCAGTGTGGGTTTAGATGGGAAGAAGCTGGAGCCTGAGAGTAATGTTCTTCTAGCTTCCATTGAGAACATGCAATATGCTGTAACCTTGGATGTCCTACACACGGTACCCCGCTTCAGTTGCAAGATAAATTTCTGTACATTCTGTTGTGACCTTAATCCCGAGTTATTCATTGCTTTATCTGTTTTAATGCATGGGGTTCAGGTTTTTTCAGCTTTCGGCCCTGTGCTAAAGATTGCAATGTTTGATAAGAATGGTGGGGTTCAGGCTCTAATACAATATCCAGGTGAGATGAAAATTTCCTTCTTTTTTTCAAAAGTGTGTTTTTCCGCTGAAAAGTCATTAGTTGCTTGTTTTGTTGTTGGTTCAAAAGTATTTCTAGCAAAGAGGCCAAGGATGGTTCTCAGCTTTATTTCATATAGAATTCAGCAATGAAGTTTTGTCCTTTGTTTTAGGTATAGATATATTGACTGAAGAAGCTTTAGTGATTATTGTACTTGTATCTGACCTTAACTGTGGATTGTTACCTTCCTAACAATTAGTCCCCCTTGTACTGGTTTTGCATTACTGGAACTGATCCAGTTACTCAGTATTAGGAGTGCTTGTATGTTAAGCAATAAATGTGATGTGTTTGCAGATGTGCAGACAGCAGTTGTTGCAAAGGAAGCTTTAGAAGGACATTCCATATATGAAGGAGGATTTTGTAAGCTTCATATCTCCTACTCTCGCCACACTGATCTCAGTATAAAGGTAAAAAGGGTCATAGAGAGATTTATTTGCTAGAGATCGTAGGAGTAGTTTATAGGAGCCACTGCAGAGTTTAGCGTCATCCATCGCTTCACTTAATGTTTTTCCCCTATTTGGAAAGAGTAGTCCACTAAATTGCATGCTTCCTGGTCTAATATCAGGTGAATAATGATCGCAGCAGAGATTATACAATCCCGAATGTCCCTATGATGAATGCCCAACCCCCTATGATGAACTCTCAACCCTCAGTCATGGGGCAGCAACCACCTTCTGTAGGAGGTCCAGATGTTCATCCATACAATGGGCCTACACAATATGCCCCAGCCCCTCAAGGTTTTGGTGCACCTCAGCATTCAGCAGCAGGCTGGAACTCACCTGTTGGTTCTACACCTCCACAAATGCCGATGCAGATGCACAATCACCATTATTCTATGCCAGCAAGTGGACCTCCTCAAATGGGTCATGGGAGGATGCCAATGCATGGACAGAACGGCCTACCACATTCCGGTGGAATGCCTCCTTATCATCCACAATAGCACTAGTGGGAACCCCAAGTTTGTAGACCAGGATTACATTTTGTTGCAGCAAGATCTAAGCCAAGATGTGCACTAATATTTTGGTCCAGACTGCATATCTTAGTTCTTTGTTTTCTGTTTCATTTCTTATTCCCTTCTCTTTGGGTGTCTTCATTGACCTATAGGACCAATCATACTTCATTGCTTCTTGATTGGTGCCATATATGAATTATACTATATTGTCATAGCGTTTTATAGTGGCGTGCTTTGAGATATACATACTGCAGGCTTGACTGATTGAAAGAACTGTTACGTTTAATTTTCTGCTGGTGAATGTAAGACAACAAAGTATATTATATTTTCCCAGACACAACTGCTCATGTGGAAGTTGCAACCACAAAAATAGGGAAAATATTTAACAGATCAATAAAATCTTAAAAACTTTGAAAATAAACTATTTTATTGTTGTAGCCAGTTTGATGTTTAATTTTTTTCTTATGTTTGTACCGATTCTCTGATACTACTGTTTATGGTTTTGTGTTGTCTAATTCGATATTATATTTGGCATGAACAAGCATTAATTAACAGCTGTCCCTAAAGAAAGGGTCATCTTCGGGAAAATTGTGTCTTTAATCACAACTAATTAGTAGTATTAATTCTGCCTCAAAGTCCTAGTTAGTTGACAAAATAAATGGAGAATAGTGCATAAAACTAGATATTGTCAAACTGAGGAATCATGAGGATGAGGTGCATCAGACATGTTGTGAACAATAAAATAGTTTACCCAACTAACTACCTTGACTATGCTACAAATAGGATCAATACACAATTTAACTCAACCAATGTCTTTACAACAACTACATTTATTTATGATAATAATAATAAACACCCACACACGTCGGTGACGTTCTGGTTTGGCTCACGGGGGAGCAAAACAAACTTACTGTGGAAGTCAAACAGTCAGGTCAAACGCTTTGATTTTGTTAACTTGTACAAATTGCCTTTGCTTATTGAAAAGCAATTCTATTCGTTAAAATGAAACCCACTGCTGCTGTCTTTAACACCTTGTTTGGAGGGTTGTTATATATTTGTATTACTAGTTTAAATACTGATACAATTTATCATTTCAAATTTGGAGTTGAATAGAAAGAGAGAAGAAGATATTAGGAAGAATCGAAGCAAGCGCCGCCGTGCTGTATGATTTTGTGAGACAGCTGACAGTCACCGGCCGGTTTGAAAAAGCACCAAACAGTGGGTCCCGGTAAAGCTAATAAGTAGGACCCACAAAGACTCTGTTGTGGATCTTCCACTTCCCACAAAGGAAATCTGGGTGGGCACAAGTAATAAATGATCAAATCACAGTTGAAAAAACACCTTAAATCCTCTTCTTCTCTAAACTTAGTGGATTCATAATACCACTTTTTTTTTGCTTTCATGAGTTCCAACTCTGATCTCTTCATTCCCAATACACATATATATTGTCTTTTTGTCAGGTGAACTGAACATTACCATTCCATAAGCGATTTTTTCTGCTTTCGGATCGTTGTTCGACAAAATTAGTGATCTAAAGTCAAATCTTCCCGACTTGTTTTTTCGAAGCATAGTCCGGAGGTTAGGTAAGTTTATATTTGAACTTTCTAAATTTAACATATACAAAATGTTCATATAGTCGACTCTAATTGATTTCGGATTGTGGCATAGTTCCAACATTATATTCTAACAATGCATCAGTTCGAATAAATTCTCATTTTCATATTTATCTTCCTGCAAAAAATTTATGATTACAACTATTGTTTGATGTTACAACTTTGAGAATTCAATAATTAGCAAGTGCTTCATGTTTGATGTTTTAGAATTTTGTAGCTGATCAAGGTGTTGCATCGTTTACCTTCTTTTTTTTTTGTCGTTGAAGTAAGTACCCTGATGTGGAAATTTGCTGGTTGCCAAATTTTGTCTATGTCTCCAATACACTTTGTTGATTATTCTAGAGCATTCAATGCCTTTGACCTCAAATTCATTTTTAGGTTCCAACTATTTTTTCTATATATAAGTCATGTTTGTCGGTATATTTTTAATTACTTATCGACTCCTTTCATGAAAAGAACAAGTTGGTCTGTTATACTCTTGTGACAAGGTTTTACACATTTTAAGCATCTTTGACTTTGTTGAAAATATTCAACTCCTGTCTGTTAAGCTGTCTTAAAAGGAAATTTTTTGTGGCTGTTTGTTTGGTGTAACTGTAGTTATACTTGGAGAGAATCAAGATATCGAGTACTTATCTGATAAGCTATACTAAAATTTCAGGGAATGGTATTTGCTCTTGGCTGAGCTACTCAAGACAGTTTTCACCGAAAAACTTGTTGCCTAGAATGATTTTGGAAGTTGATCTTCTGTATTGAGCACATTGATGCATTGGCTCAAGTTATGAATCACCGACAAGAGGAGTTTTCGAGGTCAGTTTTCTGAGAACCTCGGGAAGTTCCATTTCTTTTTTCAATCTAGGTTACACCTTTAAGTAGTTTCTGTTTGAAATTGAGGTGTAAATAAAACAAACTAAGAGATTAAAGAGAATCATGAGTGGAAAGTAAACTAATTCTGGACCTGGGAAAGAATTGAAAGCCTGGATGGCTTTTTCTATTTGAAATTGGAAGAGAAGAGAAAATTAAAAGGAAAGTTCAAGCACATTCATGTTTGGTTACTTTATTGGGTAACTTTGATATTTATGAAAATGATTAACCAAGTAAATCTGAATATGGACTATTCACTTTTTCGAGTATAGGTGTAGATGTTGTATAACTGTGCACCAATTTGCTGACATAATGCCAACTTGTTTTTTCTAATACTTAAATTGGTCGCCTTGCAGATTTCAGGGTTGGAAATCAGAGAAAAATTCTGAAGGAAATTTTCATGCTAAGGATGGAGTGCACCGAAGTAAAGCTGTAATAGCTTCCAACGAATTACATAAAGGCTTGGAACCTGGTAAATGGAGGGCCAAAAGCATAATTCAAGCCGTAAAATCCAGTTTAAGTGGTTTTGTGGAAGAAAGCTTGGGATCCAACAAGAACATACTTGATCCTCAAGGACCTTTTCTTCAAAAGTGGAACAAAATATTTGTATTATCGTGTGTAATTGCAATCTCCTTGGATCCTTTGTTCCTTTACATTCCATTGATTGATAATGACAACAAATGCCTGGGGTTAGACAGAACATTGGAGGTTACAGCTAGTGTTTTGCGTTCTTTTACTGATATATTTTACTTTCTTCATATTGCCCTTCAATTTCGAACTGGTTTCATTGCTCCTTCTTCACGTGTATTTGGAAGAGGCGTTTTAGTTGAAGATGCTTGGGAGATAGCAAAGAGATACTTGTCCACGTACTTCTTGATTGATATTCTTGCAGTTCTACCACTACCACAGGTGCAACTTACTTCCCTCAAAATGTTTCTTTGGTTTGATTGAATAAAGTTTTATTCCATTGCAATAACACATGGTTGGTAGATCTTGTGAGAAGATTATTCTTGTTCAATCATGGATATTAGATTTACATGATATGGAGCATTCTTGCTTTGCATGTTGGTTTTTACCTACCTCCTATGTAAATAGAAGTGTATGTTCAGTGGTTTACTCTTATCCTTCTATGTATTTTCAGGTTGTAATTTTAATTATTATCCCTAAGTTGCGGGGTGCAACATCTTTGAATACCAAGAATTTGCTGAAGTCTGTTGTCTTTTTCCAATATATTCCGAGGGTCCTTCGAGTTTATCCTTTATATAAGGAAGTCACAAGAACATCTGGCATACTCACTGAAACAGCATGGGCTGGAGCTGCTTTCAATCTCTTCCTTTATATGCTTGCCAGCCATGTAAGTTTGCAACAAGCTTGAGTTACAATTCTGATGGATATGCTATATGATCTGTTGTTCACTTTTGTGCTACTCGAAGTTACCTATGGATGATGATTCTATTTGAAAGGCGTCATTTAAAAAAATTTCATGTGTGTACCAATTGGTATCCTAGAAATAAAATTTGTATATTTTCAGCCATATTAAAGTTTTTCCTGGCATACAAGCTTATGCTATACCAGCAGATTTCACTAGTATGTTGAAATAGTACATCATTCTCTATTCTATAATTTTGTGGACTCATTAGACTGAGAATTGACTGACTTCCTGCTCTTCAGGTACTTGGAGCCTTTTGGTATCTGTTTTCTATAGAACGTGAAACTACTTGCTGGAAACAAGCTTGTGCAAATTCCTCTGCCTGTCGTCATGCCTCGTTGTATTGTGATGATGATCATACAGGATTTAAAACATTGCTGAATATTTCCTGCCCTATAGAGACACCAAACACAACGCTCTTTGATTTTGGGATGTTCCTTGACGCTCTCCAATCAGATGTTGTGGGATCAATGAATTTTCCACAGAAGTTCTTTTATTGTTTCTGGTGGGGTTTACAAAACTTAAGGTATGCATGCACTCTGTGCTTGCTTTTTTTTTTTTTGCCATATTCAAAAGAATGTTTATTAGATCTTTATAAAAAGTGTCATTCTGTTTAACCACATTTGCATGTATATGTAGTGGTCATTAACCATCTTTTTAAAGATCAAGAAGGAATAGAAAGAAACTCAATTTTAGAATAGTCTGTGGCTTACATATGGTATGCGTAGCTTGATCATATTAGACTTACCGATGCTGGAACACTGGGTTTTTATTAGTTTATAATGTCTGAAATTTGTGACCATCTCATCTAATTGCTCAAACAGTTTGCAAGAGTATATTGTTATCTATCAATTTAGCTTTGCAATGCGTCATGTCAAGTGTAGCCTATAATTCATTGTGTTTTTTGGAGTTAGCACGTGAAAGAATTTAGGTTCACAATGTCCATTGATATTTTTGGTTCGGTTTTCCTGCTTGAATCTAATTTTTAAGCTTAGGAAACTGATGAATTCTTTCCTCGCAAAGAAATTGGGTTAAAAAAAGGAATTAGGCCAAATCAACAAATAATTTTATAGAAATGTTTACAACATTAAACAAATAAGAGCACCAAAAACTCTTATTCCAACATAGACAGACAAAAAATACTAGGTGATTTCTTCTCATCTAGCCCAGCATGTAATCTGTTTTGGTGGGAGGTAGCAAGTACCTTGTAGTCTGTAGATAGTCGAGGCATGCACCTGTGAACTCCTGTTAGAATTCTGAGTTGTGTCTTAAAAAGTTCAGTTTCATTTGAGTTTTCTGTCTAGTTTTTCTAATCTAACTTTGATCCTTTATGTTGCAGTTCCCTTGGTCAAAACCTCCAAACAAGTACCTACGTATGGGAAATTTGCTTTGCAGTTTTCATTTCCATCTCCGGCCTGGTGCTATTTGCCTTTCTCATTGGAAATATGCAGGTAGCATTGTGGCTTTCCTTTTTATGTTCACTGTTCTGGAAATTCTTAAATGGCATTTGACACACTTGACAATACACGAACGAGCCATGAAAATAAAAGCTTTCAAAGATTCTATCAAGAAAATAGAACTTGTATTGCAGAGTTCTCATTTTGGTGTATGACACCTTCTTTTTCTGTGATGTTGCAACCTCTTTAATTTAGTCTACTTGAAATATCAATTTATTTGCTGTAAAAAAAAAAATGGTATGTCTTATGTGAGTAAAACAATCCCAGGCTCTAATCAGCTGAATACTTGTTTGTGATAGACATGTTTGCAGTCCTCAACAATGAGACTAGAGGAGATGAGGGTGAAAAGGCGAGATGCAGAACAGTGGATGTCACATCGGCTACTCCCTGAGAACCTCAGAGAGCGAATTAGGCGCTATGAGCAATACAAGTGGCAGGAAACAAGGGGTGTTGAGGAAGAGAATCTGATTCACAACCTTCCTAAAGACCTCAGAAGAGATATAAAGCGCCATCTTTGTTTAGCTTTACTGATGAGAGTGAGTTTTTTCACTGTTGCTCTTTGACTGTGTTTCATCCTTATTTCGCGAATACAGATGTGTTTTATCCATCTCTAATGGTTGGCATCATAACTAAGATGAACCTTTTGCTTTATATACAAGTGAGATTTTCCGAGAGTAATATAGTAAAAGATCTCTTTATCAATTCCTGATATTGATTATGCATGAATATTTTCAGGTGCCAATGTTTGAAAAAATGGACGAACAACTCTTGGATGCACTATGTGACCGACTCAAGCCAGTGCTCTACACCGAGGACAGCTACATTGTTCGTGAAGGTGACCCAGTTAATGAGATGCTGTTTGTAATGAGGGGCAAACTACAGTCTGTAACCACTAATGGAGGGAGGACAGGTTTTTTCAACTCCGAGTATCTAAAAGCTGGTGATTTTTGTGGAGAGGAGCTTCTTACTTGGGCTCTTGACCCTCATTCATCAACTAACTTACCTATCTCAACCCGAACTGCACAAGCACTCTCAGAAGTTGAAGCATTTGCTTTAGTGGCTGATGATTTGAAGTTTGTGGCCTCTCAGTTTCGAAGACTTCACAGTAAGCAGCTCCGCCATACTTTCAGGTTTTACTCAGGTCATTGGAGAACTTGGGCAGCTTGCTTTTTACAAGCAGCATGGCGCAATTATTGCAGGAAGAAGGTAGAAGAATCTCTTCGTGTAGAAGAAAGCAGGTTGCAAGATGCATTAGCAAAGGAAGGTTCCAGTTCACCAAGTTTTGGTGCTACCATCTATGCATCAAGATTTGCTGCTAATGCACTTCGCGCTCTGCGACGCAATAAAGCAAATAAAGCAAGAGTGCCAGACAGGATAACACCCCTTCTGCTTCAGAAACCAACAGAGCCAGATTTTACTGCTGAAGATAAATAGCTGCCATTAGTCAATGTAATGTGTGATCAATGATTGAGTTGCATTTTTGGCCATGTTTGTTGTGTATAATACACTTATAGGAAATTTCTTCAAGCCTAAAGGCTTGTTGGAATAAAAGCAATGGTATTTGTACAAAAGAAATGATGCTTCTACCCTTTTACCAAATTATTATAGAATCCACAACAATGACTACACCGCAATATCAACCAATTGAGATCAAACCACACAACCTCAAGATTCATTTGGACCTATTTTATTCTGGTGCATGTCTCCATGTATTATTCACTGTTGTAAGATTTCCGTAACATTGATTAATTTCACGTTGATTGTTATCATCCACTTACTGCAATCCCCCTCCTTTATCATCCATTGTGACTGTGCTAGGTGCGGAGTTACACTTGATTTCAGCCCAATGATTCCCGTCCTCGGGCTTCAACTGGGTTACCAATGCTACGACTTGGAATAAGCCATTTAACTTAAGCCTCAGATCATCAGAGTGCACAAGATTTATAAACTCTTTATTGGACATTACTATGGATTTGTCTCTTCATAAATGAGCAACAGGTTGTGGTTGTTTGTCTTGGACAACGGCGATGTTAAGCCAGCTTTCATGCACCTAGACTATTTCACTAGGTATCAAGTAACTCATATGGTAGCCCATCAAAATTAAGGCTGATGGAAGAAATCACCTAGAGTTTTATTCTCTGCTAAAAAATGAGAACCATGGTCTAATATTGCTCTTCTACTGTTAAAACAATACAATTGTGAAATACTAATTGTTTGGTTTCACTGAATATTGATGTATGTACATAGCAGAAGAAACGGTCATGGTGAAGCAGAAGATGTACAAGAGTAAGGAGAACATATCACCATGAAGATGTACAAAAGTAGGGAGAACATATAAGCAGCTCCTCATACGGTCGAACCAACTAAAAGTCGTGGCTGGATAAAGCAAGAGGCTTAAATTCTGCATGTGACTTCGTGGAGTGATTGCTCAATATTCTGTGTAAGAAAGAGACAGCTTCCACAATGCATTTACCCTTGTTCAACATGATACAACTTGTCCTGCAATAAGAAAACAGATTAAACATAGTCGTGCTGTTGAAGAACATTCTCAGGTCAAAGGTCGAGTTTCTACTACAGTTCTAATACGAGTTTAAAACAGCAAGTTTTTGAGATGGTTTGGAAGGGTAGGCGGGAAAGAATAGTTTGAGGATAAATGGTTAGACAAGGGCTTTATTTCTTTGCCAACACTGGATGAAGTTCATCTTTTTAGAAGATAATTTAATGATTGGGAGGTGGATGAAATCAGTGAATTATTTAATTATTGAAGCCCATTAAACTGGATGATAACAACAAGAATAGGATGATTTGGTTAGCTGATAAAAGTGGTGTACTCTCTGAGAGAAGTTGTTACATGAGGTTACAGAAGCAAGCTGGAAACTGGGAGGTTGATTGGCCATGGAAAATAAAGCCCCTCCAAAGGTTTCTTGTTTTAGGTGGGTGACTGCCAAGAGTGCTTGTTTAACACAAGACACCATACAGAGGAGGGGTACTTCAATGTATAGCAGATGCTTTTTATGTGAGAAAGCAGGAAACACCACTAATCATCTACTGATGTATTGTGATTCAACCTGGCAGGGTTGGACATAATTTCTGTGTGTTTTTGGTGTGCAGTGGGTGATGCCAAAGGATGTTAAGAGCGTCATGCCAAGTCGGCAGGGAGAGAGAATTCAGAACCAGTTGAAGCAGATATGGAGGACTGTCCCTTAGTGCATCATGTGGAATATTTGGCTGGAAAGAAATAAGAGATGTTTTGAAGAGAAGAAACAACATCGGTACTGGAATCTAATTGCATCTGCCGTCTGTTTTGTGGTGCAGGAAACACAGTAGAGAGAATATGGAACATCTTTTTGAGCTTTGAATTCCATGATGCAATGCAGTCATTGTAATACTTTTTTTGTACTCTTCTGCAGTACCTTCTTGGTACTAGCTTTTAGTGAAACTATCTTTACCTTATAAAAAATACCACTCTTTGACTGATTTGAAGGAAAGATATCTTTCTTGATTGCATATGAGCTAGTAAGTCCTACTCAACACCAGTCCCATATCTCATGCCACAAACTAAAAGGGGCAGTCCTTCCAAGTACCAGTTTAAGAAACGAATACCAAGTTCAACAGAAATGGAAGAGTTACTCTTACAAAGTTGGGCATGATACCTCCATAATTATTTCCATCGTCCAATTAATTTGACTTTTAATTGTCAAATTATTCATGGTTCCTCAAATGAAGAAGGGGCACCTTGTTACATCATCTAGTTCTCTTTGTACTTGGTTTTCTTTAGAGCTTTATCCATTATTGACAAATGACAAGTATAATGATATATCCATGCATTAACAAGTTTCTACACCTCAAAACTAGTTAAACTTATGCATATGTGCTGAGAGAATTTCAGTTTTTTGAGAAATAACTGATCCAGAAAAAGAGTATTCAAGTGTTTGATTTGATAACTTATGTCACGTTTTAATGTTAGAAGTTGCAACACATTTTAATGTAAGTATATTTAGCATTTGGTTCAAACAAATTAATGAATAATATATTCCTCACTAATAGTTTTTAACCTTGTTCTTACTCAGGGAAGTGCAACAAAATATCACAAAAATAAAGAAGCAGCCAGACTATAACCTCCTCTACCCCCTACTCAATTCCTAAAACCTCAAAAGGAAAGATAGGAATCAAAATACCCCCACCCACCCACACAGATATAGACACAAACGCATACTGGCAACGAGATTACTGACCTCATTCCTTCTGCCACATCAGTAAGCTCAGCTCTAGTAGGCACTCCAGATCTGACGAGTGACTCCAGGACCTGTGTTGCCCAAATGACAGGAACATGAGCAGCTGTGCAGACAGAGATTATCTCCTTCTGTATATATGCCATGTTTTCCCATCCACACTCTACAGCAAGATCTCCTCTGGCAATCATAATGCCCAAAGGATTTGGCATTTTCATTGCCTCCAGTAGTAGGAGCGGCAATTTCTCAAATCCTTCTTTTGTCTCGATCTTTATAGAAATCCCCAAGTCCCTTCTTTTCCGCTTCTCAAGTTCTTGGCGCAACAGTAGAATGTCACGGACATCTCGGACAAATGATACACCCACAATGTCTGCATGGTTGGCCACAAAGTCAAGATCTATAAGGTCCTTTGAAGTGAGACCTTCATACCGAATATTGCTCCGCGGAATATTTATGGACTTCTCTGATCCAAGTTTACTACCCCTGGGACCTGCATGGGTGATTGACACAAGAATTTCCGAAGTGCTAGTTGCTTTAATAATACCCCATATCTTCCCATCATCAAAAGCAATAGGTTCCCCAGGCTTCACTGAATCAAAAACATATTCAGATGAGCAGGCTATCCTGTGCGCAACAGTGGAAGAAGTCAAATTGTTTTCTTCATTTTGACCATCTCGTGATATACTCAGCAAGTCATCAACCCTTAATTTGATAAATTGCTTGAGAGGAGGAATATTTACTACATGTCCAGCCGATAATTTCCTTCTCTTGTCCTTGATAAACAATTTTGCACCTGACTTGACATAAGCAGCCTTACTGCACTCAGCCATATATCCGACGCCTGAGAAAATAGGATACCTGCTTATGATCTTAAGTGTCCTTTGTTTTCCACGAGCATCAAATAATGTCACAACATCATCAACCTTGAGCTTACTAAGAAGTTCTTCACCGTCCACATGTAGAATAGCATCAGGGGATACATGGGCTGGTGGAGAACCAGCTCCTGGGCTTGAGAGCCAAACTAGGGCAGGAAATATCACTTTCCCATAAGCATTCTTCTTGGGAGATATTTTCAACACACATGGACCAGCCTGCAGTTTTCCAGTTCGAAGCTTGGGCCCAGCTAAGTCCATGAGAATTCGACAAGGCTTTTCAAGAATTTGAGAGGTTCTTTTCACCCTTCTGATTATCTCACTCCAAATTTCAGGGCTTCCATGAGCACAATTGATACGAACAATGGTAGTTCCAGCATTTAGAAGATCTTTCATTAATGTTTCACTTTCTATAGCTTCTTCACCCACTGTTACCATGATATGGGTGTTTCTCTTCTCTGGCAATCTGCCCAATAACAGGTCCGCAGTATGGGATGCCCTCCTCCTTAGTGTATTAATAGAAAATTCTCCCTTCATTTGTTTGTCCAGACTTTTTGTTGAAGAGATTCCTTCACTATAAGAGATAGTATGACTAGAAGAATCATATTTTACGTTATCTAACAGCCGGATGCCTGCAGAAAGACTTGCTAGAACATGTTGATTTATTGTGTCTAAATTCAGTAAACAAATGGAAGAAAGTTCTTCTTTAAGCTGCTCTATGTTGAGGCTTTTCAAGGCCAAATAATGAATCAGGTTTGTCGCACTGACCAAGTAATTTCTGTCATTCATGGAACCATAAGTTAGTTGCAGGAAAAATGATCAAGCAGGGAGAAAATAGCAATAGAGTTGCTGATGGAAAAGCTGAATATATAGTAGGTACTTTAATCACATTATGCATAATGCTTCAAGTTTATTTTAGAACACTCAAGATACAATAAATGAAAGTACCTAAAGAAACCAAACAACCTCAATGACAAAAAGGAAAAGACAAGATTGATTTTTCGTACTATACTGGTTAAATTTTCCATGCTGGCAATGTTCTCACAATAACCCTCCCATTAGTTCTTTTAAACACATCCGTTCTACATGTTCCAATTTAAATTGTTATTTCTTGTCTTAAACTTTATCTGCTGGTATTTCTCCTTTGGCAGTCTCAGAGATGAAAAAATAGTGAGGATAAACAGGACTTTATCATCTTGCAATATAAATGTACATACATTTTATCACCTTCACTGAAAAGGAAAATATTAAAGAAAACATACTTGTGAGACATTTTAAGTTTGGAAGCATTCCATTGTTCCATTGCCAGTACATGCAAATGAACTGCCATCAGCTTAGCAAGCAGGCCATCTTCTTTACCATTGATCTCATAACTTCTAAGAATACCTTCACCACATGGCAACAAGGAAAAAGCTGTTCCCATCTCTGGTGCACAAGAACTCCCATCTTCTTTCTGACCAACGATGACCGGATAATCAATATAGTAATCTGAGCCTTCTTTTTCAGCATCATCCTTTTCATTTGGAATAGCAAAGACAATGTTCTTTCTGGCAAGGTTTCCATTATTACTGGCTATAAATTGGACAATATGTTCCCTAAAGCCAGGAATTTTGAAAAAAGGTTGTGGAATTGAGTACTTCCTGGACAGGTTGGAAGATCTAACAACCAAGAATGAAGCAATTTGAAAGCCCTGCAGAAAGGAATGCTCAGCAATGTTACAAAAGAGTGAAACTAGGATATAGCAACAAAAAATTAGGGACTGTGAAAAGCATAGCCTCAAAGATGCCAAAGGAGAGTGATAACCTTTAGCTAGCAGAGGTTAGCACAAGGTACGTAAACTCCAACACGAGTTCATTTTCTGATACTTACTTGAACTAAACATTGTGCTATATGAGTATCCTTGTCAAAAGAGGATTACTTACATTATTTGACAGTGCAGATTGATTGGTGAATATGGCAACAGAAGCTACACCACCCAACATCTAGAGACAGACGTTGATAAAGTTCACAGGCAGAGGACAATTGAAAATCTGCAGAGTACAAGCAAAGCACTTTAGATTTGAAGTCTCGCAGACATGTTTAACAATTGTTTTTTCTATAGAGGAACCAGCAAATAATACAATATCTAAGCTTTAATTCTCCATATGAATACAAATGATTTGAAGCCATCTATTTATACACACAAATTGTACAAGTAAACACAAATAGAAACTCTCCTTGATAACACCAAATCATTTTTGTGACCATTTTCAATTAGAACTCCTTTTCTATTTAGGTGTTTTCATTTGAAATCTTCTATGCTTAGCCAATCAGCTGCTATAGATGCATTCTATATAAAGGATAACAACACCAACTTGAAACTCTATTTGATTCGATTGAAGTCTTAACACATAAGTCCGAGGAACCAAAACACTATACCCTAACTTGCTCTAGTTCAATAGAGCATGCTAGCATAATCTTGAGTCCATTTTTTCCAACAAAGTACAGAATTCTGAGAAATCACTACTGTTTCTACCTATTATAGTACCAATTTCGTACACAGATTAACACATGCTAAGAAGAAGAAGAAAAGAAAAAAAACATTTTGTGATTCAAATGAATTTTTTGTATAGAACTCGAAAAAGAGAAAATGGTATAGAAAGATGGAGAGAAATTACCTGGGAAGGGATTGGCTATTACTGGAAAAATGAATGGGAAAGTAAGGAGAGAAAAGGGTAATAAGGAGTGTGGAGGGCGCGTGCCAGATTCAGTGTAGGGGATGAAGATTCTTCAGCCCTATCATTTCCTATACGGCATCAACATGTGCCACAAATTGTTAGGTGGAATTAGATTGTAGCAATTGTAATTTAAGTAATTTGCAAACCTAATGTATCAAAAAAAAAAACTAATGGAAAAGCCTCAAATATATCACCAAATTTTGAAAAAAGAGTGAGCTCATTATTTCACAAAAGTGTTCATTTATGCCATTATATTTTAACAAAAAATATATCCAATTTTGACATACCACTTTGTATATGTGTCCAACTATGATAGGAGCATATCACTAATTAAATTAAGAAAAATACAAAATTCATCTAATTTTAATTATTATTTTTTAAAAAGACCCAAAATAAACCTACATCCCTTTTATCCCAAAACCAACCATTATCTTCTTCTCTAAGACCCACATTTGAGTGAGGGGTGGACATGCATCCATTAACTTCGAAAAAAATTATGTGTACAATTAAATAAGGATCATATAATTAATTGAGACACGAAAAAAACTGAGTTGGTGCATTGGTCCAACACTTTTCAATGTGCTTCTTTGCAAGCAAGTGTTTGCTTCTGTTCACGGACAAGAAATTAAAAGACGGAATATATATATAGAAGGAGAATTCAAGGGTAAGTACGACATGAAATTGATAGACTTTAGGACTTCAAGTCCAGGTACAATATTATACAAAGTACAAACAATCCATAATGGACACAAAGCAAGAAACTTATAAAGAGAAAAAAAAAATGAACTGTCAAAGTAGTGAACTATAAATACTATTTCCATCTCTGGTGCCTAAAGATTTCTTCAACTCAACTATAATTATGCTTATGTTATCTGTACTGCCCCGTGAAATCGCTAATTTTTCAAGTAAGGATGTTGCCTTTGCTGCAACATTTTCTTTCATGACCTTATTTTGAGAATGCTCACTTCCATTTTTGCACCTTCTAATCTAACCATTTAAGCATCTTTTTGTAAAATCACAAGCAACGTCATTGGGAATAACATCCCACAGACCATCACTGGCAAGTATTAAGAACTCATCTCCATCACTTTTTTTGCTCACTGTGACTTCTGGCTCTGGTATTACATACGGTTTTAGGTAGTTATCCCCTACATTAACTCTTTTGGCAAATTGAATATTCAAGAATACAGAAATTCTATATGTAAGCTTACGTCTTCGTTTTTGGTGTGTCCTAGACAAAAATCAGGATACATGATCATTCAATTTTGATTTGATACGAAACATAATCTGGATGTACCTATGGATCTTGAAGTAGCCAGTACTCCTAACACTCGATGTCCATTCCAATTGATGACCTTCCCGCCTGACTTCTCAATTTTCTCCAGTTCATCAGGTCTGTCCGGCTGTGTACAAGAACGTCAATTTACAAAATTAACAACCAAATAAAGAATTACTCCATTCATTTCATATAAATGCACCTATCAGGTTTTAGTTGCTCTCTTCAATTCAATTTGTTTATATTACTTTTATTTTTAATTCGCTAAAGAAGAATGTTTCTCAACACTTGTGTAGTAACTCTTTAATTCTAACTTTCCAGGTAATGTGTTGAAGTCCACAAAATCAAAGGACATTTTTGAAGTAAATTTCCAAATTACTCGTATTAGATACCTAAGTTGTTACAAGAGTTTTAAAAAGCAAGATTCCAAATTTTTGAAATACCTTATGATCATTAGACAAGGCTAATGCAACTCCATTTCGTGAAAGCACAACTCTAGAATCCCCACAATTGGCAACTATTACCTCTTCCTTCCCCACAACTGCCACGATTGTTGTTGATCCAATTGTCGCCACTTCCGCCCCATTAATCATGTTCACCTCTTCATCCATCTTATAAAAACTCGTCGTCATCACTTTCACCCAATTTATTTCTTCTAATTTCCTATCTTCTTCAAGAATTACTTCTGTCAGTAACTTGTGCAAAGAGTCACGACAGGCATGAGCTACACATGACCCTCCATGTCCATCATAAACACCGAAAAAATCATAATTCGTCAATAAATCCAGCTTCACTAACAGAGCATCCTCCATTTCTCTTCTTCCACTGATCAAAGAGATAGATCCATGTGAATATCTTGTAATGGATCGTAAATCCTTTGTTTCCTTGCTCACATCATCGACATTACTGGATGTTTTGGTCAAAACGACACTGTTTTCTGAATGTTGCTGATGATGATGAGAAGTTGTCGTACTCATGGTGAATAACTGAGACATTACAACCTCCTTTTTCTCTCTGTATTCTTCTCCATTTCTGGTTTCTTCATCATCATCATTCGTTACTCCAATATTCTGATTTCGTTTCTTTTTGTAGCATTTGTAGTTGGTTACGGCAACATTGGCGTTAGTGCTAGAGATGTCATGCATTAATGTCCTGCACAGTAGCTTCAATTGCTGACTACCATTAAGACGAGAGCACTTTTGCTGTTTCGCATTGAGATTAAAATCTTCCATTGCACCTGATTCCGACAATGTGGTTTGCCGGAAAACAGTTTCTGGCGAGGCACCATAAAATTTATCATTAGTCATTGTTTGAAGGCTAAGAATATGACAAACACATTGCAACCAGTAGGTGATTGATGGGAGAATATATAGCACCTTATTTGTAGGGTTGTTCTGTGTTAATTTAAATATTATATTTGTTTTTACTAAAGATGTATCTATTATGTTTAAATTCATTGATAGGTAATATCAAAAAGTCTCATTTTGTATAATAATCAATTGTGTGATCCTATTGTTTTATTTTTACTTATTATGTAATAATTCTATATTATTCTTTACTTGTAGTAGCTCTATTACATACTCAAATTTTTTTCGCAAATTTATCATTCAAATTATTAATATGTAACAATATGTAATACTTCTTCTGTCTCAATTTATATGACTTACTTTTCTTTTTAATCCGTCTAAAAAAGAATGACATATTTTTATATTAAATAACAATTTAACTTTAAAATGTGAAATAATTTATAGTCATACAAATTTCTACCATTCATTTTAGACCACAAATTTTATAAATCTTCCTTATTTTCTTAAAATTTGTGTCGAATCAAACTATCTCATATAAAATAGGACAAAAAAAGTAATGAAGAATAATATAATTCATTTAAGTATCTTATTTATTAAAATAACAGAAAAGGGTCAAAAATACCCTTGAACTATTTGAAAAGGTCTAAAAATACCCCTCATCCATCTATTGGGCTAAAAAATTTCTTATTGGATAAATTAAATCTCAACCCATTTAATTTTCTCATACCCACCCATTGTAGTGAACATGACCCAAACCCAATTAGAAGACCCATTAAAAAATAAAATACATTATATGAAACAAAATCAGTTGCTGAAGAGAGAACATTAAATAAAACTTGCCATTTTCCACATCAGGCGTAGACAGATATACTTGGGAACACTCGAGGCTACCATCAGCATCAAAGAAAACTAACAAATTGAGAAATAGTAACAGAGCAAATTCTACAAATTATGCAAACCCAAATTCTCATGAATTAACAAAAGCTGATAGATTTCATAGATGATTGATTAGCCATCCACATTACACAAGATTTGTACAAGTAAGGAAGCTAATAACTAAAAGGAAATATTTTTACACCTATCATCAATCCCCAATACAGTAAAATTAAACATAAACTCTAAAGTTGATCAAATTCTTCAAGAGCTAGTGAATTTGGTAACAACCTTTGTGCCTAAACTCTAAAGTTGATCTCTAGTGGAATGTTTTTCACTTGTTTCTTCTAAATATTTTGAACTGATTTTACTTTAAAATTTTCGACGCCATTTTATGCTCATGTAATATTTAATTAATATTTTGAAGTTCTAATGGAGCCAAATTCCCAAATAATCATTTTTAATCAATTGATTGAATATTATCTTGAAAATTTTGAATAAGAAAAGAGGGAAGAAGAAAGAAGCTTGGGGTTAGGGGAGAAAGATTCAATCAATTTATTTTTTAATGGGTCTTCTAATTGGGTTTGGGTCAGGTTCACTACAATGGGGGTGGGTAGGAGAAAATTAAATGGGTTGAGATTTAATTTATTCAATAAGAAAATGACATGTAATAAATAATAATAATTATTATTATTTTTTAAAAAGTGATTGTTAGTTTTAAGGGTAGAGATGGACCAAAAAGATGGATGGAGGGGTTTTTTTTAATCCAATAGATGAATGAGGGATATTTTTAAACCTTTTCAAATAAATTAAGGATATTTTTGACCATTTTCCGTTAAAATAATACAATACAAATAAGAATCAAATCGATGGTCCACAAATGGGAAGAAAGAATGAAAGAGCATGTGAAAGTTGAAAAAACAGGGGAATGGGGGTGGGTGGTGGGACAGACCTTAAACGAATTAATTTCATACACGTGTACGGTGGCGATGGAGTAGGAGATAAAAGGTGGCAAAAAGATGTTGGATTAATTGATACGATTTTTTGGAAAGTAAGAGGACCACTGTATACGTGTCGTTAAATTGAGTGGAGAGTATGCAACTTTCTTTTGTGGGAACCATACTATGGATTTGTCAGAATCAAAGGATGGAAATTTTATAAGACACGTGTTTGTTAGCAACTGATTTTCTTAAAATTGGACTTGTTTTTACGTGTCGATTTGCAATTAAATAATGTTATATGTTCCGTAAATCTCACTCTACTTTTTTATTTATTTATACTATAAATGTGATATGTTTGTCTTAACATATTTATTGAAGTAGAAATAACTTCATCTCGAAGGCCACTCTATCTAACGAACGTTTTTTACCATATAAATAAAATTTGTTGAAAAATAATTTGGAATTTCTTGTATATTTAATAAACTTCTCAACACAAATACATAGTCTAGGCCCCTATCACAGCAGCTCTGCCCATGAAGGAATAACATAAAGATGGGCTTGTTTCTGTCAAGTGTCACAAACATGCACTAAATAAGTGACTGGAAAGGTTTGACGATATGTGATAATGACCTTTCAAGACAAATATCAAATGAAAGAAAATACTACGTACTAATAAGTTAATGTTAAATCTCACATTGCCAAACCAAAAAAACAACCAACTGCAGCCACACTGCTTTGCTCTGTTAAGTGTGGACTGATCAACTGCTAAAATATGGACAGAACCACACAGAATTGTATGTATAGAAATATCTAACAGAAATTCAGATACAAGACACCACATTCCAATAACAACGTAGGGAAAACTCAACATGAACTACAAAAGAGAATAAAAGTTCAACAAGAACAGAGAAGAGGATGAGGATCATGGATTAGAATATGAACATGTTCAGATTACTAACTGTTTAGATTAATTACTCCAATAACAGTACATAAGTATCTTCCTTAGTCTACACAAAAGTCACTATACAATATAGGTTTCTTTTATGCACAAAAACATCTTGAATCCCAGCCGAAGTAAAGAAGAGATGCCAAAATATGGTCTAGCTAAAATATTTTCGCTTATAAAAAACACCACGTGAATCAAGATTTCTTCGCCCTAGAGAAGTCCATCCATGGATACTGCAAAAGATCATGAACAAGATCAGTTAATATGAATACTCTTCGAGGGAGGGGGCAGGAGAGAAAAACACATTATCATAAAGTACCTTTTCCATAATAAACTTTAGCATCTCCTGGTTTTGCATTTCGTCTAGTGTTGGAAGACCCATTGCTTCATGTCATTGATCAAACCGTAGAAGTATTATCCATCACACATTTAGAAGGCATCAATATCCATAAATACAACAAGAAATTCAGTTCTTGTGATCATGAATTTTCACCAAAAGAAGAACTAGTAAACAAGTAAATCAAACATCACTAGATTTGTCCCTTCTACAAAATGAAGATAACAACAATACCACTCCCAAGGTAAAAGCATGTTCAAGTCCAGTAATTAAGTATGGCTAATGGCCGCAGATGAAGCTGGTTGACACAACTTAGCATCATCAACAATAGCTATAGGAGAAGTAAACCTCCTATGCAAACAATCACCCATCATAACAACAAGGAGACAGTTCATTTATTTAAACACCATAGCATTCAGGGCTCCCAGATTATGCTATAATCCAATTGAGAGATAGGAAAAAATAGAACCTCTAAGACCTGAAGAACAAAATTCTACTAATTGTATGGAACTATTAATGTCGGTCAGCACTGTGGCCCTTTAGAGTTTAGTTTCTTTCTTGTGCCATACAAAAGATTCTACTAAAAAAATTGTATAACCAAGTATCTATGTTTTTCTATAAAGCACCTTCAATACTTACCTTTCATAACTAACCTCAAATCCAGATGTACATTTTGATTTCATAATTGTGAACCGAAATATACTAGAAGAATTTTAGGCTCAAAAGTAGCTTCCTAAACTCCAAATCTGAAGTTTTTTCTCATAAACACATTTCTATGCTAAGTTTCTACAAACTAAATCAGAAGTACTTTTTTGGGCATTTACCAAGCATGTCAAGTAAATGTGTCAAGAAGGGATCCATTTTCTCAAATGCAAAAGGAAATTTTGGGGGATACTACTAGAGCACAGAGTAATGGTAAATTTGTACTAATGTGGATAACAAATGACTCATAAGATATAGGATAAGCATAAATTATGCAGTACCTACCATGGCAGTGATGCTAGAAACTTCCATATGAATACCATAATTGAGGGTTTACTTGGCATAGATATGTAAAAATGAAGTGACAACAGAATTTCGACATAAAAAGGTGTTACCATAGCAGAACAATTCCAACTAACAATAAAACCATACCATAATAGTTTCAACACTAGATTGAATCTCCGGGTCCAATTCTGATAGCCTGGTAATTTCAGGTTCAACTTTCTCGATATCGAGTTCAGGTTCACCTTTAACTACCCATTTCCACCAGTTCATCTTGTCTATCTTAGTAAGGAGTACAGAGATGGATTTCTGATCCTCTGCAAAGATGTTGGCAATAGTTAGTTAGTGATCTTGTGTTCTCAAAGTAAAGCTGCATTATTCTCACACAGATTATAGTAAGATCAACTAGCAAACTATTGGATTAATAGGTACATGCCCATACTCTGAAACTATGTACCACAGTGAAAATCAACTGCGGGGTGCTAATAACAGCAGATGTAAATAGAAAAAAAAATTCAAACAACTATGCATCAATACATGACAGCAACTTACCTAAGGTCCAGAAACAAGCCTCAACTTTGACAGGTCGATAGAGTTCTCCCTGCCACAACAAAGAGGATGAATGTTAATATACAGGCTCAGAAGAAAATCATACAAATCTTACACATTTTGAAATGGAAAAACAGCAAATGATATCTCTGAATGACTAGAAACAGGAGAACACACTAACATCAATTATTGGAGGATGACCCTTTAGTCCGACTGTAAGATGGTTCATTTTTATATCATAAACAATAAACCGTGATTTTGTTCCCTGAGGTACAGGAATGTTGAGATTAAGCTCCTATAATAATTGACCCCAAGAGTAGTTGTCCAGATCAAGGCCATTCCCTATGTTGGGAGATGTGTACATATCAGCAGAAAGAGCAATAAGCTACTGGAGATGCAAAACAAACAAGGTTGTTGGGCAACACC